TGGAGCTCAGCTGCCTGGGTTCAAATCCGGGTATAGTACCACTTAATGAAGGTGATGTTGAGAAAGGACTTTAACATCTCTGTACCTCAGTTACCTGATCTGTGAAGCAGGAGCAATAGTACTGCTTTTATATAATTGTTGTGAGGATTATATAAAATAATGTTGGGACGATGCTGAACAAGGTTTCAAGGGAGCTTCCAGACTAAAACAGACTAGGAAGAAAGGCCTGGTGATCTACTTCCAAAAATAGGCCAATAAAACCTATGGATCACAGTGGAACACTGTCTGATCCACAATCAATCATGGGAATGGTGCAAGACCGGGCAGCGTTTCATTCCGTTTTGCATGGGGTCACCATGAGTCGGGGCCAACTCGATGGCAGCTCACAAAAACAACAACAATGCACAGGTAAGCGCTCAATAAACAGCCGCCATCATCATCAGCATCCCACACTTCGCCTTCTGCCTTCCTCAGACCAAATTCTCCTCCTGTCTTTCCTGCCCTGCTTCCCACCCTCAACCAGGTACTTCAACTCTGGGTCTGATAAGAGAACAGAGGGAGTGTTGAAGCCCCAGCATGATAATAACCAGCCTAGTTCTTCAGGGCACAGCATTCTTCAGGCCCACGATTGCTTTTCAAATTGGGGCTGAGCTGAGCCCTGGGGACACCAAAGCATGTGGAGGGGGAGGGGCACTGGCTGGACCAGCACTTTTGCAGGAGATAAATCCTTCACCACGTGGATGCCAGGAGCCCAGCGTTTGCAGATGAGCAGGATGTGTGAGGACGGATGACCACCCTAGGTCATCTGATCCAGCCTATCGCCCTCCCAGGTCTTAGACACACTGTTTCATTGGGCATCAAGGGCTCATCATTAAGCAGGGCCTTTATCTTCAGCACTCCTGTTGGTCCGGGTAATCTTTTCTTTCTTCTCTCTCTCAATCTTTTTGGTTACAATCACCTTCAGTCTCATCTATACTAATGGGCAAAATGCTGTATGGTTCCCAAACTATGCTGCATATTAAAATCACCTGGGATGCTTTTAAAATCTGATTCCCAGGCCAAATCCCAAACCAATTTTATCAGAATCTCAGGGAATGGGACCCAAGCATCAGAAATGAATTCAATGTGCAGCAGTTCAAGAACCAGTGTGCTGAGCAGTGTTTCTCAGAGTTGGTGTATACAAGTCACTTGGGGAGCTTGTTAAAATGCACATTTTGACTCATTAGGCCTGGGGTAGAGCCTACAATTCTGTTTCTAGCAAGCTCCTAGATGATACTGATGCTCTTGGTCCACAGACCAAACTTTGAGTAGCAAGGGCGTAGAGCTGTGGTTCTCAAACTTGAACGTGCATCAGGATCATCTGGAGAACTTGTTAAAAATATGCCCCATGCTCTGACAGGGAGCATAACAGAGGGTCCCGGACAGAGCTGGAGAAAAATGTAGAACAAAATTCTAACTCACAAAAAAAGACCAGACTTACTTGCCTGACAGAGACTAGAGGAACCCCGGGAGTATGGCCCCAGAACACCTTTTTAGCTCAGTAATGAAGTCACTCCTGAGGTTCACTGTTCAGCCAAAGATTAGACAGCCCCATAAAACAAAATGAGACTAATGGGGCACAACAGTCCAGGGACAAGGACTAGATGGCAGGAGGGGACAGGAAAGCTGGTAATAGGGAACCCAAGGGTGAGAAGGGACAGTGTTGACAAGTTGTGGAGTTGTTAACCATTGTCATAAAACAATGTGTACTGTTTAATGAGAAACTATTTGTTCTGTAAACCTTCATTTAAAGCACAATAAAAAAAAATTACAAACTCTAGGAAAAACAAAAAAAGCCCCAGTGTCAGACTTAGTAGATCTAGAATGGGGCCCAATAATGTGCATTTCTGACATGCTCCCAGGTGATGCCAGTGCTCTACTGTACGCAGCAAAGGGTGTAGAGGATGGAACACAGGTTTTGGTGTCACCCTAGGCAAACTTTCTGGCTTTATGTCTTGCTAACTCTGTGATCTTGGGCAAGTTACATAACTTCTTTGAATTGTCACTTGATCACGTGTAAAGTAGCCATTATTGGGCAAAACTGAGCTAATATGAAACACCTAACACTGCCTAGCGCCCTGGTCCTCAAACTTGATTACAAATTTGAATTACGTGGGGAGCTTTAGAAACTACTGATGCCAGGGTCTCACCCCATAGGTGTTGATTCATTGGCCTGTGGTGTACTGATTATCAGTTTTTTTTTTAAACTACTTAAGTAATTTTACTGGCCTAATACATACAATGGCTCTCAAACTTTCATGAGCATCGGAATTACAGACTACTGGGCCCCACCCCGAGGGTTTCTAATTCAGTAGATCTGGGGTGGGGCTCTTAATTTGCATTTCAAACAGGTTCCCAGGTGTTGCTGGTGCTACGCTCCAGGAATTACACTGCTATGATCAACTCGAAGGCAATGGGGTGTTGTTTTATTGTTGTTGTTGGGTGCTGTGGAGTTGATTCTGACTCATAGGGACGCCATGTGACAGGGCAGAACCACCCCATAGGGTTTTCTTGGCTGTAATCTTTACAGAAGCAGATCACCAGGTCTTTCTTCCACAGAATCGTTGGATGGGTTCGAACTGCCAGCCTTTCAGGTTAGCAGCTGAGCATTTAACCGTCGTGCCACACTAGTCCATAGTTATCAGTAATAATGCTCCGAGCCAGGTCAGGGAATAGCTTGCCCTTTGCCCAGCTCCAGACAGCACACCTGGGGCCTCACTGGCCCTAGTATGCCACTTTACAAGTCAGCCTGGGGTTGGTCGAAGGTGGGGCCAGAATATGATGGATAGGGGAACCTCTTCGGAGGGAAAGCCAGAGGAACAGGAGTTGTCTGCCTGGGAGGAGACAGACTGAGCTCAAACATGGCATCAAGGGGGTAAGGGGGGTCTTGGCCTGGATGACCCCAGCAACAAGAAGTGGTGGATGGAACCCACAAGGAGGCCTTTAGCTCAACACAGGAATAACTTTTCACCTCTGAGAACTGTCCTGTCTGGAAACGGCATCAACTGCCTCTTGTGCTAGTGAGCTCCCTGGCGTGGGAGGCAGTCCAGCTGCGCTGCGGAGACGGGGGAAGCTAGAGGTTTCTGAACTGCAGGTTCTCTGCGGTCCCTTTGAAGTCTGGGATTGCGCAGCCTGTCAGGCCTCCGGGTCACACGTTAACCCAGAAGCTTGCTGTTTATTTAGAGAGGTGACTCGTCTGCAGCTTTGGCAACAGGCTAGTTTTCCCGGTGGCGTTTCCTTTGCCTATCAGTAAGTGGATTACTTTCCTGGAGCAAACAGAAAGGCGACAGCGCTGGGCCAAGCCAGCGGGTCAGCACGGTTGTGGTGCGGGCAGCAGGTGTCACCTCCTGAGTAATGTGGGGAAAAGGCTGGGCCCTTTGGGCCTTAGATGCGCTGCGGGTTAATGGGGGCGGGTGAGGCGGGCGGCCTTTCGCTCCAAGGGCCAAACGCTGCAGGTGGTGGTTGGGTGGGGGTGGGGGAAGAGGGGGGTCCAGCCCACGTCGCCGGCCATATCAGAGCACCAAGAGAACACCAAGTCTTTATTACAGGAATTCCTATGAAACAGCTCCAAGAAAAAACCCACACATACGAGGGGAAAAAAAAAAAAAACAACTAACAAAGCAACACACACAGACGTGGCGACTGGGACTTCCCCGCCATGCGCCACATCGCAGAGCTCCCTCCTCCGCCCGCCCCCGGATCAGAGCCTGCCTGGAACTGGGGTTGGCGAGCCTCTCCTCGCTCCAGGGCCACAGGCCGGCCGAGGAGCAGCGCAGGGCTCGGCCCGCGCGCTTCCAAACTTGGTCACGCCCTGCGGTGGCGGGTTCCGGACCCTCCTGCGTCTGCCGCCGGGCTCGAGCTGGGGAAGCCCGTGGTCTGGAGTCGGGCCAGGGCCTTCACCGGGAACCAGGGCGGGCGGGATGCGGTGCGCTCGCGGTCTCGCCTCTGCCACCCTCCCGGGGCGCCCGCCACGCCCTCTTGATCTCGGGGTGTCCTGCGGCCACCAGTGACCCGCCAAGAATTGGCTCCCACCCCAACCTCGCACAGAGGAGCCGGACCAGGCTGGGCTGGTCGCACACTCCGCGGCCCCGAAGCCTCATGCCTGTCCAGGTTTCCCGGCTCTCAGGCGAGGTCAGCGCGTCCCCATCTCGAGGTGGGAGGCGGGGAAGGGGCCAGAGAACCGTAGCAGCCTCCCTCCCATTGGCAGTGGTAGGTGCCGGGTAAGCGCTTATAGAATCAGTTTCCCTGCTCGGATCACGTTCTTACTCTTCTCATGGGGCACCCGGCAAGCCCCTCTGTTCTAGGCCTCCCAACCCAGGCTGGCAGTTGCTTGGCCTTGTCTTCAGACCTGCACTCCCTCCCCGAGTGGGTCGCTCCAGAACCCAACGCTGCCGACCGTTAGCGGACACCAGGGCTTCCAGGCCGGCTCAGAGTGAGAACCTGTTGCATGACTCCAGGGTCCCATCCAAAACTGGCTTTTGTCTTTTAAGAGGCTAAAGACTACCCGTGCCTAGCTAGAGTCATCCAGCCCCGGGGGACCACCCTTCCCATCCCTGCTGAAGAGGCTGCTAGGGCCGTGCTGGTCTCTAACTGCGGCAGTCGGATGGTCCAGGCAGAGCAGTCACCTCTCGGCGGTGGCCCGCCACTCTTTAGCGCTCCAATGACTGCCCAGGGCTCTTCCCCCCAGCGCTCTGTGCTGGGGCTGTGCAGACAGCTCGGCAGCCCCGGAAAGGCTGGGTTGCAGAGGGCCACGGAAGCCAAGGGCACAAGATGCCCAGAAGGGAGCTGAGAAGGGGTGCGGGGTCAGGCAGTACCCGCGGCCCTGTTGGGGAGGTGGGAAAGGGAGGGAGGCTGGGGCTCCATCTTCGGGTCAGAAAGCCTCTTGTATGATCACCCTGCCCTTTCCCACACTCCAACCGTTGCCTGTTTTCTGGAATTTTTTTTTTTTTTTTTTTTTAAAGAAAGGGGTTGGTTCCTGTATTTCCACTCATGGCCCATAGAACAGCCTGGCTACAAAAGGGGCTGTGATTGGCTGCTGCCTCCAGGGGCCCCCAGGTCCTTCCTCCAATCACAGCGGGGCAGCCCCACGGAAAGTAGTAGTGGCAGTGGTGGGCTGGACTGTGGCGGGAGAATCACTGGGCCTCAAGACTCAAGCACCATCTGTCCGGCTGCAGCTGGGCCCTTCAGCTGGAGGCTGGCTTTGCTCTCCGGCTGCTCCCACCGGGTCAGATTATCTCCAGCGAGGATGCTGGCATCTGGGGAGGAAAGGGATAGGAGATGTCTCAAAGGAGCCCAGTGGTCTTTCCGGGTCACTGGTTCCTGGAAAGATGGTCTTGGGCAAAAGCTACCAAAGACAGTAGCCCTCTGCTTTCTCCGGGGACTTTATGGCAGTCTTGGGACTCTGGCTGGGGTCATCCTATCCATCCAAGCTCCTGGAAATGTCCCAACTTGTAGAATGGCAGGGACTCTGGCAGGTAAAGATGGGATGGGGGAATGTAATTCCAGGTGGAAGCTGCTGTATGACCAGGGCTTAGGGGTGGGAAATGCCTGGCCTTCTCCAAGACACGGTAGGAGCTCAGATGAGCTAGACCAAGAGGACCTGGAGGGGCAGAAAAGCAGACTGGGGCCAGAATTCGGGGGGCCCTAGACACCAGACTGAGGGATTCAGAAGACTATTCAGGAAGCCTCACTGAAAGAGCAAGAGAGAAATGGGACTAAAGCGGTGATCTGGTGATGGGATGAACCGCGAGGAGCAGTGAAGAGACCAGCGGCTCTTCACTGGGTGATGAGTGTCTACCAGGATGGTGATAAAGGAATAAGGAGGAGATGTGAGACGGGGAACTCAGGGAAGACTGGCTTTCCGTGAGTTAACTTCCAGGGCTGGAAAGATAATCGTGAGGTCCAGCTTGGAATGTGGAGCAGATCTGGGGGTGAGTGACATGGAGAGGTAGATTTTGGAGCCAACTGTACGGAAGTGTTGGTGATGCTGCAAAGAGGGTGGTGGTGCCCAGAGAGAGTGGGGAGTGAGAAGACTTGAAGGGGGTCGGGGCAGAGCAGTGGGGAGAGCTGGTATTTAGGGGGTGGGAGAAGGCACAGGAAGAATAAACAGCAGAGAGGAAGGAGGAGACCCAGGATACTTGAGTCACAGGAACCAAGGAAGAGCAGTTTCAGGAAAGATGATGGGCATCACCAGAAGGATGCAGGATAGGAGCAGACCCTGGGCCTGTCTGGTGACCTTCTTGAGTCAAGCCATGGGTGGTTGGAGGACCGCCAGCCACAGTGTGTGAAGGAGGACACCAATTTTTGTAGGTTAGGTGATAAAGGCAAACACTGGGGACTTGGAATCAAGGACCTGGGTTTTAGGATGGGGAGGAAGAGGATGTGGACTGGAGGAAGGAGCCAGAAGGGGGCAGCTGGAAGACTCAGGAGAAAAAGAAATGATGAGCAAGGTCCCGACAGAGGGGTGGCTTTGAACAGGGCACATCTTCCCTGGGGACCAGTGGGAAAGAGAAGGAGCTGATGATGGCAGCAGCATTGAGTGGGAGTGGAGGCACTTCCCCTGGCATTCTGGAGAAGTGGGAAGTGAGGGTGCAGCTCCATGGGTGAGGAAGGCTTGCAGAGAATGGAAGAGGTCTGGAGGCACCTGGTGAGGGCTGTAGTGAGGGAGTCCACTAGAAGGGACATGAAGGCCAGTGGTCCAGATGGAGGCGAGAGGCAACTTGTATTTACTTGTTCCTGGCTGTGTCCACTGCGCTGTGGTTTATCTCGCCTCCACTGCAGATCTCCTGAGGGCAGCCAAGTATTTCTCCATAGTCTGAAACAGGGCCATCCCTGCTACACCAGTAGCTCCAGAAAGTCTCATGGATTCTGACTCCTGGGATGGGGACAGTGCTAGGGAAGGGCAGACAGGAAGCTTCCTGATGGGGGGAGGGGGTGTCTGGAAGAGTTCTAGGGGGAGGCGTCAGCATTCCCTATTTCTCTCTCTGAGGGATGCACAGGCAGAGGATAAAAAGCAGCCTGCCTGGGGCCTGGGGCTCCAGCCAGAAACAGCTGCTGGGGAGAGGCAGTGTCCTCCTCTGGCTGTGGCCGGTTCCAGACCATCCAACCCAAGCTGGGAACCAGAGAGACCTGTGTGTGTGTGCATGACCGGGTTGAGGCCACCTCAGGTTTTCTGAAATCATCCTCTCAGCGCTGTGTGTCCTGGACTGCCTTCTCAACTGGGCGGCAAACTATTCAAGGTCAAGAACACTGCTCCAGAATGTATCTGGCATAAGCAGGTGTGTGATTATCTTTCGTCAAAGGAATAGATTTAAAAAAAAAAAAAATGCAAAGACTAGTTCCCATGCAGAAACCCATGTCCCCTGCTACCACAACTTCAAGGGAAGGGACCCAGGACCTGTGCTGCCCAGCTGCCTGAGCCCCAAATCCTGAACCCCTGGAAGACACCAGAGTGTGGGTGGGGCAGTCCCTGGGTGGCAGGGTGCCAGGGCTCACCTCTTACTGTCCTTCTCTGAGGGTGAGGGCTTCCTCCACCTTGGGCACCTCCTGCTGCCTTCCCCGGAAGTCCTCATCTGAAAAGCAGAGGGAAGGCGCCTCATCCTCCACCCCACAGATCCTGGCTCAGGCATGTCCCCCAGTCCAGGCAAGAGTGCTGGCCCAACTCTCCTACCCCCTTCACTTGAGGGGGTACACACCAACCCCCAGGTTGGCACTGTCAGGTCTGGTGGGAAAGGCAGCAGGGCACAGTGGGGGTGCAGACACCTGGGTGCTGGCCTGGCTCCATCATGGAGCCCTGAGACCATGGAGAGTTCCTTCCTTCTCTTTGGGCCTCTGTTTGCTTATTGTTATGTGAAATGGTTAAGTTGGCCTATCCAGATGATCCCCAAGTCCCTTCTAGTCCATTTCTGAATGTCTTCTGCCACCAAACGGCTCCTCTGCTCTGTGGGGTAAGGATCAGGGTTCAGCTGTGGGCCTGGGTCTAAGGAGGGGTCCTCTGGCCTTTGGGGAGGGACTAGGTGGAAGTTAAAAAGCCTCTGGGTCCACAGCCAAAATTGCCCAGTGCTTGGTTCTAAAGTTGAGGCCCCTCCATGTGGCTGGGCCTGTCTGCCCCCTTGGGGACCAAAGAGTATTACCCAGAAACAATACCTGGCACTTTGTCTACGGGGTAGAGATCTATGTGGAGGTACGCTGGGGCCCCCATCAGGGGTTAGAGGAAGGAAGGGAAACAGTATGGACCAGGCAAGGAGGATCCATTTCTCTGGGTCATCTGCTCACCAACGCTTGATGTGTCTCCCAGGTTGGGTGCTCCCTCCCCCCGAGTGGTGGATTCACCCAGGACCTCCTCTCAAAGGGCCACCAACCATAGGCATGTTGGAGTTCAACTCCCCACTCTACCCCTGGCCTTACCACAAGCGTGACCCTCCACGTCATCTAGGAGATTGGCTGTAGACGCTGCAGCCCCCAGCCTGCCAGGCCATTCAGGAAAACTGATGGGATGGGTGGGCACTGCCATAGTCCTCCCAGTCCTACCTGCCACCCCCTCACCTGCTCCAAGCTCAGGAGGCTTCCACCACAGCAGCCTCTCTGCTCCCCACCCCAGGCTCCTTGGAACCTGGAAGTTGACAGTGTTCATTGGGGTCAGCTGAAAGCCCCTCACTGCTCTCACCCCCATCCCACCTCGGGATGGAGAAGCCGCTTTCTCCCTTCTCCCCTTTGACTGTTCAGCTTGTAATATCCTGGGCCCTGTTTGAAAAGCATGGCTGGGAGTTTGGATAACAATGTAGAAACCTTATTTCTACTCGAAGAACAGAAAGTGAGAAGGCAGTTCCACTGAGCCTCAAAAGAGGAGGTGGGAGGATGTGTGGTAATCAATTCGACTAGAGAAATTAGGGAAAGGGTGTGCTGATTTCGATGACAGAAATTATTTTTCTCCCGAAGACACAGATTACCCTAGACAACTGGAAAAAAAACGTTGTAGGACAACTTCAGAGCCTATGGAAGGAGAACAGCAGGGGGTGTCGGTACCCTTAGCGACACTGCCCCCACCAGCCCCAGAATGGCAAGGATACGACTGATGCTTCAACAAGTGTTTCCTCTTCGACTTCCTCATCTTAGTCTTCTCTGAGAAGGCCCGGGCGAGTTCAAACAGCTTCTTCCGGGTGGCTGTGGGCAGAGACACCTGTGAGCTGTTTTCTCGGCGTCCAGAGCACCAGGTGGGGGCACCCCAGGTCTAGGGAAGGATGGAGCAGAATAGGACCACCTGGGTGGGGGCAGGTAAGACACATCAGCCTGGGAGCCCGGGAGGAGGGGGGGGCAGGAATGGAAGACGCTGGGCTAGAGGCACGAGGCTGCCATCCCATCTCTGCCTGCAGGGGCAGCACAAGCCACCTGGAGCTGGGCCCAGGACCGCTGGCAGCCCAAGATCCGGGCATTCCTTCCTAAACTACGACAGACAGTGACGCATCTTGGCCTTCTTTTCCGCCGCCATCTCCCCCGCCCCTCCCCACGCCACCTTCAGAGTTGGTTCTGAGATTTCCTTCACTAACTGGAGATCTTCCTTCAAATGGAGCCTGGAAGAATTGCAGCTTCATTCACACATGGTCGTGTGTTAGTGTGTGATGGTCGGGGGAGGATGGAAACTAAGGGTAGGGGGTGTGCAAGCCTGGAATGACTATGGGGCCAGATCACCAATCCTACAGGCCACCTGCCTCAGCAGAAAGTGGGCTTAGCAAGAGCCTCCCCACAGTGAGACCCCGCCTACCCTCCCTCAAGCCGCAGAGGACATGAACACTCAAGGTGGGGTGGGGTGTGTGGCACATTGTTTTCTGCAGACAGCTGGCTCTAAAGGATTTAAAACTTAATTTGTATCCAGACTCAGCTGTAGAGGGAAGGGAGGTAGGAAGGCTGAGAGAGCCAGCCTGTGATTAAAATGTCACTTCAGATCACCAAGAGTCAGCTGCATTTAAAATTCTGGGTGGCTCCCTCCCTCCCATGAGGCCACAGGCCTGGTCTTAGAAGAGTTGGGGAAGGGGACATGGGACTGGACTCACATTTTCCCATGTGTTTCAACTTGTCCCTGAATAAGGCATCTTCAGACACAGCAGGGTTGGCTTCACTGGTTCCTGGAAGGGGAGACACCTGCTGAGATGGGGGGAGCCTGGGTCTCTGCGGGTGGGCTGAAGAGGGGGAGCACTGCCAAGGCGGAGAGGGGGACCCAGGGCTATCCCCCAAGGTGGCTAGATCAGACCTTTCCTTCCATTAGAGGAAGGAAGCAAAGAACAGGTTCCTTTGCTAACCAGAAGGGCAAACTTAGAGCAAAGAGGGAACTCGAGGGAGGGGTGGGGGGTCCTAAGGGCACTTCTTTCCCCTTTGGAGCCTGGCGTCCTTCTCTGTAAAAACAGGGCAGTCCCGTGGTCTGCCGTGTGTGCTGAGACTGGCCACTGCTCCGCCCAGCTCCACTCCAGTGAAGTCACGAAGGCAGTGTGAATCAGTCGTGGAGGGAGTATTTAAACATGAAAATCACCAAACCCTACAAACCCAGAGCCAGCAGTTAAACCGTGACCAGCACGCCCCGGCTGGCTGAGTTCTGCATGGTTGTGAGAGCTGAATGAGGCATGGGAGTGCCTGGTACAGAACAGGAGTTCACCAGTGGGGACTTCCCTCTCCTTCCTTCCAGGGTCAGTCTCTCCCTCCCAGACACAGCGTTCCCGACTCGAGAAGCAGTAGGAAGAAGAATGGGGCTGGTCCAAAAGTCACAACCCAGCCACCTCCCAGAGTCTCCCTGCTTGCTCAGTGCCCACTTGGGTCTCTCACTGCCCTTCTGAAGCCCCTGCTCTCCCTCCTGCAATTCGGTTCATCCTGGGTCACCTTGCCTCCTAAGTCCCCTTTGAGTCATTTTGATCCATCTCAGCTAATGCGGGATCAAGGACAAGCGGCTGTTAAAACTCCCAGATGCATGTCTGGGGTGGGGGTGGGGGGCTAAGCTCCCGTTACTTACAAAATCAGTTCCTCAGGATTTTCTCTTTTCTAGCTGGGATCAGCTGAGCTCCCCATCCTTCTACTCCCCTACCCCATCCCCATCCCACTGCAGGATGAAAGGTCCCTTCCAGGCAAAAGCTGCTAAGCCTTTCTCTGAGGCGGGCAGCTGGGGAGTGGGGGAACTGACTGGAGGTCACAGCCACACATATAGCCACAGAGTCTGGGTATCAAGTGTGGAGCTGGGCCTCCTGGGCCTCCCTGCCCCCACATTCCCAGCTTCTGCTCAGCCCTCTAGTCCATGCATCCCAACAGCACCGCTGCCACCCCTGAAACACCCCCAGTCGGCCAGGGCTCCTGCCTCCCACCACTGTGTCCCCAAAACTCAAAATTCTCTCCCTTCAATACATAGGGCAGGGCACGTGGCAGAGATTTCCAGCTACTGAATGCATAAATGAAAGGGCCCTTTCCAGATTACCCCCGCCCTTCCTCTTCATGCGTTAGCTGTAATTAACAAGTATGTCCTCAGCTTTGCTGCTTTGCTCTACCTGTTTCTTGGATGTGTCTCCTGCAGTCCCCAAAAGACCAGAAGCTCCCCCAGGGTGGAGACCACGCCTTCAGTCTCCCTGTCCTCTATGCCCCTGCCCCTTCCATGGGACATTATGTGGAGTACAGGTACCTCTGAGGAATTCAGCCAACCTGTGCTAGCTGATGGCATCTGTGGGCTCATAAAACCCCAGCAGTGCTGGGGAGGCTTAAACACAGGGCTACTAAGAGGAAGGGCTGTCTCACTCCATGGTGGGTGTGGAGGTGGGGCAGAACCCTCCCCTCCAGGCCCCACCCTCAGTCTATTTTAGGGTAGAAAAAGGGTCCCCCCAATCCTCACCCTACCCCCAAACTCCAAATCTGCAAAGGGAAGGTGGGGCTCAAGCCCCTAGGCCCTCCAGGACATCTGTGTCAGGCCTCTCCCAAGAAGGCAAGGTTACCTGGGACAGGGGAAGGAAAGCCAAAGTCGTTTCCAACAACCGTGCTGCTGGATTTGGATTTCTGGGACTCGTACTTCAATCGATCTGGAAAAGGACCACATTCCAGTCAGGGAAGTTAGCTCCTGGGCTCCCAGGGGTACACTGGGCTGAGAATCAGGAGGTAGTTGGAGACCAAACCCCCAGAATCACACACAAGTGCACCCCCAAAACATGCATGCATACACCTCCTCACGGCTCTCAAAGAACTAGAGATAACACAGAAACTATTGCCCTGACAAACTTCTGGAAGCTTAGAATGTCAGAATTAGAAGGACCCCGAGAGATGGGATTGTCCAACTCTCTCATTTAAAAGGAAAGGCCCTTGCTGCAGAGCTGGGACCAGCCCCGGGCCTCCTCCCTTTTGCCCAGTGTTCTCCTTGCACACCTTGTTCCTCTCCAATGACACACACAATTACGGTTATACACACACATACACACACGCTCTCACACTGACCCTCACAGCTCCAGAAAGACCTCCCAGAGCCCTCTCCCTGTACCCCACCCCAAGCACACTCCCACCCTGAAGGGGAAAGGCAACAAGGATGGGGAGTAGGGTCTCCGGCCCAAAGACAACCAAATACCTAAAACACTCAAGAGCCCCTGCTCTACTCAGAAAGCCTATCCCCTCTGGCCCCCACGGACCCAGTCACTCTGTCCCTGGAGCTCCAGGTACACAGTGTCTGCCCTGGTGGCTGGTGCTCTGCAAGGAAGACCAACGCTCTTTTATCCCTAGGGGTAACCTAGGGCCAAGGTCAGTGCCTGGCAGAGAGCAGATGTGCAGAGGGGAAGGAGAAGGCATAAGGGTGCAGCCCTCTTCCCCTGAGTCCCTGGGGAGAAAGAAGGGTGGCTGGTGAACCAGGTCCCCCTTGGCAGAATTCTGGGGCTCCCACAAGGATGACTTGGTGGGGGGCATGTCTTGTCAGGACAGAGAGTGGCTGGCACCCTTGGCCTCTTCTGAGCCCTCAGACTAACGCCAACATCAACTCCCTCCCGTAGCCCAGGAGAAGTGGCTACAGCGCCCTAGCCGATGCACCACCTCTCTCCAGGGCAAGGAGGAATTCGCGGTTGCGCTGCAGCTCCTTCATGAACTCCTCATTCTGTAGGAAGAGTGCGATCCTCTCGTCCTCCAGGTACTGCTTCCAGCGGCTCTCCTGGTCTCGGGTCCCCACCTCAGCCCCCACGGCGGGAGGGCCTCCCTCTCCGCTCACTGCCTTGGGGCCCCCGGGGTTACCCTGAGGAAGAAAGTGAGCATGGGCACATGTTGCACAAACATCCATGCACACTTGGGTGTACACACCACACATCCTGTCCCAGGATCCCCCAGCCCCGCCCTGAGGCCTGCGTCTCCTACTGAGACCTAGTCATCAACCAGAACCCAACGTAAAGGGCCAGAGGCCTCTCTGCTGAGGAAGCTGCCAGGGCTTAAACAAACGATTTTCCTCCTCACCTTGGACCACTCCATCCCTTCATCTACAAGCTGACTAGCTCTGAAAAGTGATTTGCAGACTGCTCAATAGCCTACAGGTGGATTCCTTGCACCAGCTGCCTCTTGGTGAAACTCCCCGCCTCTGCCAGGGCCCCTTAAGACATGCCAGTATCTTGGGAGAAACTGCCCATACCTTTCCGAGAGGAGAGAAGGGAGGTGCCCCTCTGCCACTGGCTACCCGATGCCCCTCCCCCTTCTAGCCTGGGGTGGTGGCTGCAATTACAGCCCCCCCAGGGCTGTCACCTTCCCTAGGTAGAACAGGAAACCAAGCCCAGCCAGAAAGTGAGGTTTGCAGTTCACCGTTCTTTCCCTACAAACCCAGGGCAACAGAAATAGCTCAGCCTGGGCTTCAAAATCAGGAAGTGCAACTGGCTGGCACAAGCTGCATTGGCCTCAGATGGCAAAACAGATGCTGGACTGGCAGGTGGGTGTGGAAGGTGGGGAACAGTCCCATTACCTGTATGCTGTCCAACTGCTGGGGCAGGATGCGGAGAAAATCATCGGGTAACTTGCCCAGCAGTGGCGGGTTCCAGTTCTGATAGCGCCTCTGGCTTGAAGGGGGGCTGGAGCCCACCATGTCGATCCTGGGGGGGTGGGAGGTGACAATGAGGAGGGAGCAGTCAGGCTGGAACACAGGTCTCCCAGCCCATCACACCAGGTCCTAAGGTAGATGGGATCCTGCTCCATTTGCTCTGCTGCTCCGAAACTTCCTCTGGCCCCCACTGCCTCCAGGGCAAAGGCTTAGCACTCCATCTCACTGTTGGAGACTCCTCGTAATCAGGCGTCTGATAACTCCCCAGGCTCAGCTCTTCCATTCCGGCTTAGACTCACTGCTGTCCCACCACTCAGCCCAGGTCTCTAGGTCTAGAGAACTCTGTTCGTGGTCTAATGTGGAGGTTGTGGATTTAGAGTTAGATGTTTATGAACATCTTACAACTGCAGGGAGCATATCGTCTGTTCATGTCCCTAGCACCGAGCTCATGGGCTCATGGCTGCTGAGTGACAGGTGTGGGCCAAATGAATGGATGTATAAACCATCAACAGCCCAGTCTGCCGGAATGCAGGAGCTGTGGAGGGGGAGGTGTGGGAGATGGGGACACTTGGATCCTTCTAGAGGTAACTGGCACCAAGGAAGTCCACTGGGGAGAGAGTAGAGCAGCTCTGGGTTTCGGTTCTGGTTCAGTCACAGCCAGTAGAGTGGTCTTAGGCGAGACCCTTCTCTCTGGGCCTGGTTCCCTCATCTAGAAACTGTCACCTCGCTCCTGACCTCATGAGACTGTCAGAACTGGGCTCTGAAAAGGCATATGGAGATAGGAGAGCGGAAGGCGTTCTGTTTCCAGATTTGAGAGACGAGGGGCGCGCAGGTGCTGCTCTTCATGGCAAGGTGAACTGCAGGAGGTTCCGCCTCTGTGGAGGTCACAGCGCAGCAGCGGGAGGAGACGAACGGGGTGGGTGGCACACACCCTCCCTGACCCCCAGGTTCCTGTCCTGCCCCCCAGGGCAGCCTGGCCGGCTGGGGCTCCCCACAGTGCCTCAGCAGCCTGCAGCGTGGCAACCGCAGGACACGTGTTCTGCTGAATCAGGGAAATGACACACAGAGGCAGCCGAGGCCCGGGGCGGTGAGGCCGCTCTCGCTCTTGGCCTGGCTTTGATTTGGTCTCCAGCTCCAGGAATCCCGCCCGCCCCCTCACTGGAGAGGAGCTTTTCCGGGCTGCCGCTGACTGTGGAAATAACTTCCTTTCCTTTTCTATTTTAGGCTGGTGGCCGGGCGGGGGCGAGGGGGAGGTGCAGGGAGGCAGCAGACGGGATAATAAGCTGCTAAGTGCTCGGTGGGGGATCGGCTCTGCGCTAGCTGGAGCCAGGGGAACCCCGGTATGGCAGGCCTCCTCCGCCCTCACCCTGCAGACGGGGGGAGGAGCGGAGCTCCCACCCCAACCCAGTCTCCCACTTCTAAGCCCGATGTCTTTCTATTATCACCATGCCGCCTTCCGTCACCGTTAGAGGGCTCATTTTTCTCCCAGGGCCCCAGAGGCGGGGGAGAGGACGTCCCATCTCTTAAGGACTCGCAGGCCATCTCTGGCTACAGCGGGGAGAAATCTTCTCCAGCGTCACCACCATTCCTTGGGCTCCAGTGTCTTCAGCTGGGACATGGGTGCCCACCCCCAATTAAACCACACTGGGAAAGCTGCGGAGGGAGACTACGGAGTTGCATTTGGACCCCTCTAGCCACTTTGGAGCCCAGGTGGCGCAGTGGTTAAGAAGTAGGCTGCTAACCATAAAGGTCCGCAGTTCAAATCCACCAACCGCTCCTTGGAAACCCTATGGGGCAGTTCTACTGCCCTGCAGGGTCGCTATGAGTTGGAATCAACTCCACGGCAACGGGTTTGGTGTTTTTTTTTAGCCACTTTGTCCCTGGTGGCGCAGTGGTTAAGCGCTCGCTGCTATCTAAAATATCAGCAGTTCGAACCCACCAGCCACTCCGCGGGAGAAAGATGTGGCAGTCCGCTTCTGTAAAGCTTTATAGCCTTGGAAACCCTATATAGGGTCACTATGACTCAGAATCGACTAGATGGCAACGGGCTTCAAGCCACTTTGTCTACCGAGAGACCCAGGTGGGAGTGAGAGTCTTCCCGGGTCCTCAGCCTGAGTCCCCTGGCGGCTGGGCTGTGGTCCTGGAGGAAGACAGGCCCGCGCGCCCCTCTTGGCCCCTTGGCAGCGGCAGAGATGAGGTCAGTCCGCAGCTGTGCGAGCGAGCCTGGGGCCCTGAACACAGGCAGCCCTGGCAACTCCATTGTGGTCGGAAAGGAATGTCAGAAATGAGCTGAGAGGCAAATAAAAAACTTCCAAGGCTGTAATTTCAAGGGAAAAACAGCAGGCGGCCCGTGAGGAGGGGTCCCTTTGGGTTTCTTTCAGGCCAGTTGAGGGAAGGGCAGGTTGGGGGAGGGGAAGGACGGATACTGGCCAGGGAGGATCTCCTGGCCCTGAGTCTCTGCCCCTGGACCCTGAAACTAGAACTTGGACCCTCAATTTACCCCCTTACCCAAGTTTATCCACAGAACTTCAGACCTAAGAAAGGTTTCAGAGGCATACCATCCAGGCAGGACTTTCGGTAAAAAGTAGACATTAAGGCCCAGGCGAAACCAGACCCTGACCTGGGGCACACAGGCAAAGTGTGCAAAGCTCTGGGCACTCCCAGCATGCTCCCCTGGGATCGCTCCCCGTGCCCCAACAGGGCAGTGTCCATGCTTCCCAACTCTGCCCTTCTGTGGTCACATAGGTACCTCAGTGACTGGGGGTGGCACCAGGGGGCTAGGCCCCTCCTACCACTGCCTACCTCCACCCCCCCCACTCAAATCTGATCACACCCAGCAGTCAAAGGGAGTTTCCTAAAACTCTAACCTGATCACCTCACTCTCCAGTTTAAATCTCTTGGGTGGCTCCCCACTGCCTACCCAGGATAAAGCCGAAGCTCCTTGGAGGGCCCACAAGCCTCCCTGCCCCCATGATCAGCACCACCCCCCCAAGCCATTCCCCACTTCCTTCCTGCCTCCAGGCCTTTGCACGTGCTGTTTCCTTGTCCTGGAATGCCTTCCTGTCCTCTGCTTCACCAGACTAACCTGGGTGTGTCCTTCAGGTCACAGCTGGGACATCAGGACCTGTAGGCAGCCTTTCCCCACCCTCACGTCTGTGCCGCCCCTCCCCCACTCCGATCTCCTTGCTGGATTCATCTTTGCATCACACACCTACTCAGCAACTGCATGCTGCAAGTGACTTAATAAATGCTGGAAATAAAGGCTGTGGATGGAGAGCAGGCCTAGGGGTAGATCTGGGCCTAGTTGGGCCATCCTGGAGCAAAAGGGCACGTGCACAAGGGCTGGCCCTGCACTTCTAGACACTGGCCTCTGGGAAAAGCCTCACCCTTGGTCTCAACGTTCAATGTTACAGCTGAACTCAGAGACTAGCCAGTCCAGCCAGGGGGCAAGAAGAAGCAGTAAGCACTGATTGCAGGTCTGGTCCATACCTGGCACTGTGCTAAGTGCTCCATACACAACATCTCATTCAATATTCACAACAGTGCTATTACTCCCATTTCACAGATGAGGCAAACGAAGCTTAGAGAGGTTAAGTAACAAGCCAAAGGCTACCAGCAGAGGCACCTGCAGAATCAGAAGTCAGGCAGCTAAGGAACAGGTTGGAGAGGGCAGCCCATTCTTCCTGAATTTACAACTCATATTCCCTTCCCTGCATCTACCCCTAGCCCAGCAAAGCCATTTCCTGGGTCAGGCCCTGAGGCTCAGGCAAGGGCAGTAACTTGTCTGAAGTCCACAGGGTCTGAATGAGGCCTCCTGAACCTCAGTCTAGTGCTAAGGTCAGCCTGTTCCCTACCACTGGGGCTCCCCTCACTGGGCTGCACTACCCTTGACTCCCAGCCCTATCCCACCGACAGCAGGCTGAGCACCCAGAACAAAGTAGGGAAGGGAGGATATGGCCAGGACATCCATGCCAGGTTATCCTGATATTCTCTCTTATTGCTTCAGTTTGCCCTTCTGAAAAATAGGTATAATCACTCTAACTAATAGAAACTGAACCTTTTGTGAAAGTATCTTAGGATGTTAAGAAAAAAGTAAAAGGAAAACCATTTAGCCCCAGGCTGCAAGCCCTGCCAAAGTCTCACCCAGACCTACCCATGTACTCCCCCCTCCCACCCTGGTATAGCCTGCCATCTCCTGGTACCATTTGTGATAAAGGAGGGAGTCCACCTATGTTCAAACCCTGACTCAAAACCCTGCTCCCCCCTCCCCAGGAACTTTCTAGAACTCTCTCAGTTTCCCAAGCTGCAATCACAGAGAATTTTCTCATTAGGGAGGTGACAGGACCCAGCAGCCAAGAACATTAGCTTTGGACCCAGTCTGACCTGGGTTCAAATCTCAACTGTATAGCTCTGGGGAAGTTATGAAACCTCTCTGAGGCTCAGTTTCCTCATCTGTAAGATGGGTATGATGACCACAGTGGCTACCTCACAGGTTGTTAGTTCAAATGCATAGGTAAGGTAAAGAACCTTGTCAGTTTCTGGCACTGGAAGGGTGCTTAGTAAATGGTAGCTGTTATTATTACCTATACCTGTCTGATAACAGAATTCTCCACCACCACTGCTCAGAGAGCCCCAGAAGGGAGAATTCACTAAAGCAGATCCCCTGTCCCATCATCTCCCTTCAACCTTCATCACCCCAGGCCTGAGTCATTCTAAGGAACAGCGGCTCTAGGACAAAGAGGCAATCCCTGGGCTCCACCATAAACACGGAGCCCAGAAAAGCAAGCCACCTCAGAGACCCAAGAGACCCTGCTGGCAGCCAGTTTCATTTCAATCTTCCAAATTCCAGAGTCTGAGCTGGAAGAAGTCTCCAGATATCTACTAGACCTCTCTCCTGCCTCCAGTTATCAAACCATCCCAGAAAAAGAAACTTTTTTCCATTGCTGAAAAATCCCCCATGACTTAGCCCAGGTATGGCAAACAGATTTCCATTCCATTGACTGCTGATGAACGTCTGGGAGTTCTGTGTTGAGAAGGATTCTGAGGTCCCATCTTGACTCAGCAGGAAAGAGCACAGTGATCAATTAGTAATGTCTGCCATGGGCTCCAGAGCAAAATGTCTTATACGTTCCGTGCTTTTGTTATTCCCACTCTGACATCTCACTTGACAAAAGTTCCCAGAAAGCAGAGGCTGAGCCTTATTGAACTCAGTGTCATGTATGGTGTTCAGCACAGCACCTAGCTCAGAGTAGGAATTTAGTAAATGTTTGCTCTTGCAATCCTTACGTTCTGAAAGTTCTCTTTGGTGTCTAGCTGCAATGTCTCCTGCTTTAGTAGAGGCCTGTTTTTGGTGGAATAACATACTGTGGGTCCAGCCAAGTTCCCAACCGTGTTTGTACTTACCTCGCCCCTGTTCCCCTTCCCCACCACCCACCCTGTGCTCTGAGACAGATGATTTCTCACCTGGGAGGTGGAGTAGGGGGCGCCAGAGGGTAAGGCCTGTCAAACATATGCATATGGTAGGCTGGGGGGGAGTACACCGGCGGGGGCTCTTCATCAGAGCTATCAGGTTCTAAAGTCCTTTCCAAGATCTAAATCGGAGACAGCAAAGAAGAAATATTAACAGTACTTCCTTGAATTTAAAGAACATTCAGATAATACCAAGTATGAGCAAGGGTGTGTAGCAAGGGAACTCTTGGGCACTTGCCGGTGGGAGTGTAAACTGATACAACCACCACTCTGGGAAACTGTGTGACTGTATTTGCCAAAGCTAAGCAGATGGCTACCTCTAACCCTCCCTTAATGTCCAACGTACTCGGCAGACATGAAAGTACAAGCCCCCAAAAGAATGTTCAGAGCAGCATTATCCATCTAAGTGAGGTTCAGACAGGCAAAACAAATAACAAATTTACACACAACAGAAGTGAGAGCAGTGGGGATCTTTGTGGGGGTGGGTGAGGATGGGAAGAGGCACGCGGGGGACTCCAGGTTCTCACGATGTTGTTCTTGATCTGGGTGCGGTAACGTGTGAACAATCACTATGCAGCACACTTCTGATCTGTATACTCTTCTGTGTGTTATTTTTTAATAAATAACTTTAATTAGGTTTTTTTAAAAAAAAGAAACAGCATATTCAAACCCTCTCTCAAAGTACTTCATGTGTATCATTTCACCTTAGCCTCAAACAACCTGGTGAGGCAGGATATGGATCATTATACCCACTTTACAGATGAGGAAACTGAAGGACACGGCAAAAGCCACACCCTGTTTTTAAAACCGGCTCTTCAACTTGGACCATGGTCTTCTGACTCCCCAGCAAGGGTCCCTCCTTCAGGCACACTGCCCGCACACCCGGGTTGGATTTTCAGGGCAGGCAGTGACAAGGAGGGTGCCCAGGATGCCTGCTCTCCCTCCTGACTCCTCTCTTCATCTGAGAGCCAGGAAGCGGGGTGGGAGAGGCCAAGCGCTGGGCAAAGGCAGGTGTTCCTGCTACCAACTGACCTGGACCCTTCCCCAGAGGTCCAGAGAGGAGCCTGGGACAGGAGGCAGCCATCGACCAGGAGACCCCACATCACATGCTCCAAGCAGTTCCTTGCTCCTCCCCTCTCATCCCCTCCCCACAGCTCTGTTTCCATCTCCTCCAAAACCAGAGAACATGGCTGGGCCCTCAAAGGGTCATCAGTACAAAGGGCTCAGAAGCTGTGAAGCAGCCCTAGAGTCGCCAGGCGTCACATTTGAATCCCAAGTGCATTTGCAGAAGTCACTGCTAAAGCTGCCTCTGCTTCCACCTCCACAACCCCGGGCTGGCACAGGCTGTGCCGGCACACCTCTGCCCTGACTGAGCCCAGCCATGCTCAGGCACACGGAGACTCACAGGGACACCCTGGCAAGAGGATGTGTGAGCACACAGGAACGTGCACATACACGCTCACGTGCACACATACACACACAGCCAGACCGGCCTAAGGAGGCCTCCCACCCTGGAATGTTCTAACGTTCCTTCCTTTGAGGCAGAAAGTATTTAAACAGATGGTTTTGCAGGAAAAGAATATGTAGCTGTTTGCGGGCCATTGCTCTGCTCACCCCAAATTTCCACAAGAGGAAAACCAGGCAGATAGAGAATGCTGGTAGCTCAGCTCCCGTTCAGTGATGTCTCTGGTGCCTGGCACAGTGCCAGCACAGGAGAGGCGCTCACAAGAACTTGCTGCTATGTCCCCCAGCCCACACTCCCCACTTCCTGGCCCCCTCCACTCTGAGGGACAGGTTCCAGGCTGTGGAATGGAGGCCAACTCCTGGAGGCCCCCTCTCCTCCCTCGGTGGCTGACTTAGCCTGTTCCCACTGAGGTCGGTCTGAGGGAGATGGGTGAGGAGAGAAGAACTCAACAGGACTGGTTTCCAGAAGAAAGCTGCTGAAGGGTTTCCTCTGACCTCGGCCCTTCCACAGCTACACCAGCAGGCCCTTTGCCTCTTAGCTGCTCCTGCTCATCTGTGGAGCCTCCTGGGGCTGCAAGAACCAGACACTCAGCAGAGGCTCCTGGACCAGACTGGAAAACGCCAAGGCGGCAGGCGGCGGGCCAGGCACACTCCGGAAAGAAAGGCAGATCCCACGTCTCCAGGGAGAGTAACCCCAGCCGCATCTCTGGCCTCCACTGCCCCATCTCCCCACCCTCACCAGCCATAGTGTGGTTGTTCTTCTGGCTCTTAAGGTGCTGAAGTTTTTGGTCCTGCGGCCTCCTGGCTTAACTCAGTGTGTGTGATGGAAGCCTGCCAGGTGCTCTGGGGGGCAGGGTCTGGGCCACTTATATAACAAGAGATACTTCTCTATGTCAAGGATACCCCTCTGACCAGCCCACCATCCATCAGCCCCCAGAGAAGGGACTTTTGCCAGTCAGCAGTTACTGTCATTCCAGCTGCTGCTCATAAATTTTCCAAAGCACTTTCCTTTGGCGCAGAAATTGCCAGCCAATGGGCCCAGGCAGAGCTCCAAAGGTGGGGGGCTGGGGAATCAGCCAAGGGAGGGGAGGGGTGCTGAGAAGGGGTGCAATCCAGAAAGCAAGACTCTTAGAAAAACAGAAGCACACACGGCAGGCCTCCCTGGAGGACGGTGAAGCCTCACGGAGGTTCACAGGGCTGTGGGCGCCACAGACAGAGGGGGAAATATTATTCTACCTGTCAGATTGTTAGAATAAATGGAGCCTGTAGAAAGGGCCAAGGTTGCGAAGACCTGTACCTTTCCAGCTCACACTTAAAGGATATATCTGCAAACACACATGCAGGCACACACACACTCAGCCCTACCCCTCTTTTCCACAAAGTGGATCTGGGTTTTAGAATACTCCCTCCGCTAGGCTAATCCTGGCAGGTGAAAGGAGAGGTCTCCCAGGAAAAGAGAGTAGAAAGCTGTGCAAAGACAGCAGCAACATTTAGTCACTCAACAAACATCCCTGATTGCCTGCTGTTATGTACCAGACTCATCCTGAGCACTGCAGGTGACAGAGGGATGAGCCAGACATGGCTGCCCTCACAGAGCTTCACCTCCCCCTGGAGAGAGAAGTCCCAGGCAGCACCCACTAAGGGAGGGAGAGCAGTCAGCCCTGTAGGATGACTGATGGATGAAGAGAGACTGCCTGCAGGGCTGTGCTGAGAAGGAGTCTAGTCTGTTTTCTCACTGTTAATGAGACTAATAATAATAATACCACCTCACAAAGTTTATGGAAATTAGATAACACCAAAAAAACCAAACTCATTGCCATCAAGTCGATTCCCACTCACAGCGTCCCTACAGGACATAGTAGAACTGCCCCATAGGGTTTCAAAGGAGCACCTGGTGGATTCAAACTGCTGATCTTTTGGTTGGCAGCCCAGCTCTTTAACCACTGCATCACCAGGGCTCGAATACATGTAAAGCATTTAGGACAGTGCCCAGTACAGGCTGGGACTCAATAAAGAGCAGAGTTAAATCCCATCTGGTGGGTCCTTCCATCTTGCCTCCAGCTGCATGTCCAAGCACCCCGCAGGCAGTGACCCTCTCACAGAGACTGTTCTGTGCCTTGTCTCTTCTGCACTCAGCACTGCAGGTACTGCAAGGGTGGAGGAGGGACAGCCACCTCCCCCTCCCCCCAGCAAGTGGATCTTGATGCAGTGGGTGGCTCCCTCTCCCCTAGCCACCTCCCTGGAGAGAGGGGAGCAGGACTGCTTGAGTATCGCTTACTCCCACCTCCATCCCACCTCCATCCTCATAGTCAGAAGGACTGAATGGACAAATCTATGCATCACCCCTTTCAGAGGCACCCTAGGGATATAGCCCCACTCGTTTTTCTCATCAGCTAGGCCAGTCCAGTGGAGCAAGGCACAGACAGCGGCAAGGTCCAAACCTCCCTGTCTCCTCTCACTCTAGGATCCTGACAGATGGACCTGCTGCCAGCTCCCTACCGAGTCATGCTCTGCGGCACCTCTGAGCCTTCCCCTGAGCTGGCCGGTTTCCTGCATACCCTCTCCGGCACTCTTCACTCTTCTTGGGGTCTCCTCTGAGCCATCTCTCTCTCTGGGAAGCCTCCCCTTCCTCTCTGTTGCCCTCACTTCTCCCATCACTGCAATTACCATGCAGGGCTGTCCCTGCCTGACTCTTGCCTCTGTTCCCCACTGGACTGTGAGCTCTGTGAGGGCAGAAACTTGGTCTGACTTAGCTAACGTGGATACCCAGAGTAAGGTTCAAAAAGAGGCCTTCTTGAAAAACACAGATGGTAGGGTCCCAGACCTGGAGACTAAGATTCAGTATGTTGGGGTGGGGCCCAAGCATCTACATTTTTAACTAGCACAGTCATTTTGATGATGCCTGACCCGGGGTCTAGCACTGTGCCTGGCACAGCACTAAGAAGGTGCTCAGTGTTTGTTGAAAGAATGCATGATTTCTGCCAATAAAATATGGCCGCTGACTGGCTTGGGTAAGGTTTCCTTAGGAGAAATAAGGCTGCTTACTAGTTAGAACCCAGGCGGGGGAATAACCCAGGTCCTCTAAGAGGTCTACAAGGTTGTTGGAGCGCGTGGGAACTATCTACCTCCGGGGGTATGCTGTCCTCGGAGTCGGAGCTGTCCTCGTAGACGCCGCCACCACCCCCGTCCAGGTTCATCTGCAGCAGCTGGTCGATGGTGGCATCCACGGCGCCGCTGTTGGCGCGTAGCACGCACTCAATGATATCGTAGTCCATATTGGGGAACATGGTCTTGAAGTCGTCCATAGCCTGGTTGAACTCAAGCCGGCGCACCTGGCGGGCAGGCCGGCTGTTGTTGAGCTCCTGCGCGGTGGCGGCCCC